CCTTTGCAACCTAAATAAAAAAATGGAGAGAAAGAATGAATACGGAAGTAGACATGTAAATTTAAAAAGTAATTAGAGAAGCTACCAAGTTAAAGACACACCTGAGATGCCACTGCTGCCATCTTGGCACTAGCCTCAACAGCAATAACCCTGGAAGCTCCAGCTTGTGCCGAAAATAGGCTAAAGAAAGAATAATAACAAAATAAGTCAAATTTAGAAATGGAAGGGCAATCAAATAAAATAACTTATAAGCACAGGCCAACAAAACCCAGAATATGACTGCCAAAAATGAACAAACAGAAAGAGCCAATAGGAATCTATCAATTTAAGGAGGCACGCAGAACATTATTAAGGGCTTCTATGACTAGAATACATTAAGTCAAGATGAAATCTTAAATATTCAGAAGAAAAAAAGGGAGCCATGAAGAGAACAAATATATTGCTTTAATATAATTGAGTTCAGCATTGGACTGTGACAAACTAGTTGTTTATAAGCAAGGTGCTCATTATTAGTCATATCCTATACACAAAGCCACCAGGTGTGCATCATTAATTTTCTCAAGAAAAAAGGGTGAATCAGAGCATGAGGCACCTACCAAGTGGGGCTCAAGGGTGAGGATAGAAGTGCACTGCCACAACCTCGCAAGTGGAGGTATTTGTAGGATTTAAACCCTTGATTTCCAACTCACAGCAGAAACTTGCCAAAATGCAAGGTTTGCCCTTTTCAATACACTCCTTTCAGGAAACTTTTGCATGGAGACAATTCTTTGCTGCTCCTTGGGGTAAAGGGTGGTGACACTCTCCCAAAAATTAGCTCACGGGAAGGGTTGCCCTAGTCTTATTCTAGCCATATTCCTAGCATAACACTCTTGAACGTAGATCCCCATAATGGGTAGCAATTTACCAAAGAACGTAGAGCCCCCTAAGGGGTAGCAAGCAGATGAAAAGTTAAACACGTATATCCAGGCTAAGCCCAAACAATGCAGAAAAAGACATACTAACATGTCAAAAGTGAAAAGTTTAACAATCAAAAGGCAATGCACAAGATTGTTGAGGAGCAGAAATAACCTTGAACAATTATCAGCTTTTTTATTTATGAAGTTTAGTATCATAAATAACAAATGCGCATTGGCATAAGAATATACAAAATTAGATTCAACATAAATTTTGTAAAAGCTGTGATGACACGATTTATGGTTGGTATGACAGTAACCTGGTGTTTTTTACTTATAAGCACAATTTCGGTAAAGAATTTTCTTTACCAAATATTTTTACTTTGACATCATCCTCCCACCATTAATTATAATACAATATGTCATTGTATGAATACAAAACTCCGAAAAGGATATTATTGATTGCATACTATATATGGATAAAAGTCAAGGATCTTTCTCACCTGAGGATTCCAGTTCCACAACCAACATCCATAACCACAGCCCCGTTTAGTAGGGAGGGATTCTTCAAAATTGCTTGACCATAAGCATCCATTCTCACCTATGTAATATTGATATAATTTCAATAAAATGGTTATAGCACGGTGAAAAATCTCCAATTTGTCGACTTATTGTTGATAGTTACACAACAAATTACTTAAATTTGAAGCCAACAAATGCAAAGCACATCTTATACCTTATCACTTAACATCTCTCGATGGATACCAAATGAACTGTATGACCCAAAATAACTTTCATTGACCATCTTAATATGTTTTGCAATGTGATTTTGAGAATTAGCAATTAAAGGTCCCTTTTTCGGATCCTTATCACTGCACAAAGCATGTCCCACTGAGTCTTTACCATTAATAAGCTCCCTTTTTGAAGAACTATCCCTATTCAAATGATCAATAGAAAAAGAAGCATCACATTTTCCATCATCAACTAGAAATTTTTCCGTAGAATCATGATCGTCAGAGATTCTCTCATCAATGTTCATCAAATCCTTTATAAGATCTTCATCAATTGGTGTAATTTGCTCATCTTCACCTTCTTCGTCACATTCCCCAAAACTGTACAGCAGAGAATCATCTTGCAGGAAAGGTATTAGATATCTATCATCATTCCATAGAGTCTTTATCTCATTAAAGTCAATCACATCATGCAAATGATTCTGCAAGTCACGCTTGCACAGGCATGTTAATCCACAACTCCAACATTTGTTCTCTGACACCTAGAAATAAAAATTCAAAGAAAACACCAGTTAGCTAGACAACTTAGACAAACATCTGAAATTTTGTAAAATGATAAAATGATCAATTAACATTGAAGGATTATTTAAAATAGAATTAACAAAACTAGAACATCTACAGATAGCTAGTGCTGGCTCCATAGACAACAGCGAAAAAGAGCTTGCTAAAATAAAAACATTCAATATGATAATATGATTCTTCGAAAAAAAATCTTAACAACATACTAAAACATTTAATCAGCATTCTTTTCAATTATAATAATACTTTTATCTGTAAAAAGGAATTGAAAAAACTAAGACACTTACCTAGGCAGAGCAAAAAGACTAAAAGCGTATGTTTAAGTTATCGCTACATTTTTTTTCACATACGACAGTAACAGGTAAACGGAGGGAAATCTACATAAACAAACCCAAAATTTAAATCGAATAGAACAAGTAATGACCTCCAAAATCATTATAAACTGCCATTTTAAAATCTTAAAATCCAAAATTTCTCTCAATTCCATTTCCTCATTCCTAAAACTCCCAACATCAAGAAAAATAATAACAGAATTCGGATTCTCTGGTTCGCAAAGCAATGTCATGTTATGACAAAATAACGGCAAGCAGTAGTATGACCACTCGTCTTTCTCTTTAAGAGAAGACCCTAAGAAGAGTGCTAACACATTGTGGATTATAGTTTAAAATTTATTTACAACTCAATGAAGACCAAGCTAATAAAAGAAAAAAACTACAAATAGTTTATTAAATAAAACAAACTTCTCCGTACTCTAAAATTAGCTTATCCATTAAGTTTTACATAATTTAAAAATCCGACTTTGAAAAAGCTAATACCAGAAAAAATCCACAAATAATTTAACTTTAACTTCCGAAGAAGATTATTTCATGACCCCTTCTAATTCTTATTCGTTTTCTCTTAAAAGTGTTCACCAAACAGTCACAAACGAAACCACCAAATTTTATGATTCCTGACAAAGTTTAAATTAAAAGAGAGTGTTCTTAAAAATAACGTGTTCCTAGCATTTCTAAAGATCCTGATTCAATTATGAAAATGTGTTGACTGAAAAAAAAAGCATAAAAGAAAAGAAAACGATGAGCTCACCTGAGAGCGAACGAAGTTGATGAGCTTGAAGGAGGCATAGAAATCCAGTTTAAGACTTGCTCTAATCGCGTGGAAATCGAAATGGTGAAGGGAGGCGCAATGATCGAACAAAGAACTGCACGAACTGTACTGGGAGTCACAGAAGAGACACGCGAATTCCAATTCTCGCTCTCCTTCCCAATCGTCCCATCCTTCTTCTTCTTCGCTATCTTCGTCTTCTTCTTCCACTCTGTACGGTTCTTTTTCCTCTTCTCTCTTTTGCTTATCGATGGATGCCATGAGTGAAAAAACGCTTAAACCCTTTCAAAAACCCTAAAACGAAGGAACTCTGCGTATATATATTCTGCTCGCCTTCAACAAATATTTTTAAAATAAACATTTATTTAAAAAATAGATAGAATTTATTTATTAAAATAAGTTTAAAAAAACTGTTTGATTATAGAATAAGCAAAGTAGAAACAAACTCATCCAAATTTTTTCTTACACTAAAACGAACAAAAATGTGTTATAGTATTTAGTTCATGAATTCTAAAACATTAGTCTTTTAAAATGACGAGAATTTCAATTAATATATATTTAATTTAAAATATTTTTAATTAATATGTACTTTAACTTACTTTTAATACTCTTTAAGATTGAAAAACAATATGATTTATTTAATTTTGTGACGAGTTTATTTGATTTTCTTCTTAAACTTACTTTATATTCCTAGTAATAAACTTATTATTTTTATTCTTCATTTTCATTTGCTATTTTAAAAATTATAAATTATCCTTACATTTTTATTTAAAGTTACCTTATTTTTTTTGTCTTCTTTTATGATACTTCAACAGCATTCATTCTTCTCTCATTTCTTATTCAAATTTCATTTCATTATAAATTTAAACGAACTTTAAAAGCATTTGCATTTCAGATTCTACTTTAGATTTTTAAATACAATATTCGTTGCTCAACTTTCATTTAAAAAATCATTATATTTATATACGTAGAATGAATTTTTAGTTTAAGTTCATATTTTATAGCAACGCTAGGAAAAATATATTTATTGACTGATCAAATTCATTAATAAATATATTAGTAAATCAAAATTATTTATAACATCGATGAATTAATATTATGTTAGTATAATGTTTGTTAATAAACTCTAATAACGGATATAATGTTAACCATAATTTCATACATATACCATCAAATTTGAATACACAATATAATTCATAAAATATAAAATTCTTTTATAAATGAAAATGATAAGTTCAGAAACACTTTCATCATCTAACTCAACAAATCTCAATCTAATTTAAGACAATTCAATAGAATGATTCTTCTTATCCTCTTGTTATATAAGTTCATACATGTATACATTCATCATCTAAGTCAACAAATCTCAATCTAATTTAACACAACTCAATAGAATGATTTTTCTTATCCTTCTTCTTTATAAATCCATACATATATACACTGATAAATTTGAATACACATAAAATAAACAAATTAAATTTTTTTTTAAATAAAAATTATAAACTTGAAAACACAGTTTGACCATCTAGCTCGACATAACTCAATCTAACTTAATACAACTCGAGTTGATGGTCGAGTTGTAATTCCAAATTTATCAAAAAAAAACTTATAAAAAAATATTTATATATATATATATATATATATATATATATATAAAAGGAAATTTGCAACCAAAAGATCACTTTCGCTCCTCCATGTAAAAGGATAAAAATAAAAAAGAGAAAGGGACTTATTGTTGTTGCTTCTAATGAATGATGATCAAAAACTTCTAAATCATATCGAAGCTGAAGAATTCAGATTGAAGTTGTCCATTTAGTGGTTCCATGAAAGAGGTAGAATGATTGAACCAAGAACTAGAGTCATGAGAATAGGTTTCACTAGTGCCACTCCATTGTTGAATGTTTGTGCCCTTTAGCTTAACATCATCAAGAACACCATCATCATAATTGTAACAATAATCAGCTTCCACAAACATTTCAGCAACATTGGAGAATTGGCCTGTGAGTTCTTGCACAAGGGCTCTGAAGTTTGAAGCACTGGTCTTCACCTTCATAGGGCTTGAAATATATGTCACTTTAACATCCTTCTTCTCACCCCTTTTGCTCTTTCCTTTTCTATTCATCATCACACCATGGTTGTTATCAACTCCAAGCATTATCAACAAAAGGGTTAGCTAATCACCAACCAAAATCCAATTGTCTCAACTGATATCAAAAAAAGATTGAAGCTAGGGTTTGTATTTATAGTATGATAAAGGGTGATGTAAAATCAATGGTGAACTTCCAGGATAGTGGCCATATTAAGAAAATTAGGGTTCGTGGTTGAAATGGAAAGGGGCTAGAAAGTGCATGGTTGAGAAGGTTCCATTGGGGTGTTGAAGGACCTTTCAAGTTCCATGGATATGAACATGGTTATAACAGATTAATACATGTGTATCTGTCACTGTTTTGTTTTTTATTTGTGGTTTTATGTTCCGTGAACCTTTTGCTCATGCAACTTAGGAAATTTCCAGCAAGAAGCCAAAGTCAATCTCATTCGTAATAACTTCAAATTGTAATTAAAAGTTATTCAATCAATGTTTGATATAATTAAAATAATTTATAAATATGATTTCTCGACTATCAGAATCATATATACACACGTAAATTTAATATATTTTTTTAATTGTTAATATATGTCAAACGAAGATAAATATATAGGTTATTTTATCATTAATTTTATATTATACAACCATTTTATCCTAGGTTTCTGATGGAGGATTATTTATATCCAACCTCCAATACTAATAATTTTAATTTATTTTTCTCTTTTTATGTTTTCTTTAATACTGTTAAATGAAATTTAAATATTTTTTAAATTTGCATAAATATTAAATATTGGAGAATTTAATTATGATGTCAGTGTGTGATGTAAGATAAAAGAGGAAGAAATTTTGTTGGAGTTCGAGGCTGACAGGGATGTCATCATGTTCTCACTTTTTTGTCCATAAAGAAAAGCTCATTCTTATAAAATATCTGAGCAAATTCGAAGAAATCTAACAAAAATTTAAACATGTGGTCGAATAAAACAGAGTTACATAAATAATTAAAATAGAAAATTGCACTCACATTTAAATAAAGAATTGAAAATTGATAAATATCTAACTTAACTTGAATATATATTTTAATATCTATAAATTTTTATATATTTTAAAATTTTAAATTTGATTTTTGATATGATACTTTTTATTAAAATTTAATAGCATATTTATGTCAATTATTGAAAACAAAAACCTTTAATCATTTAAATCAACCAAATTATAATTTTTTTTCAAGAACTATATAGATCTTTAGATATTTGTGAGATTCTAGAAATATGGTCATGGTTGAATTTATTTTATTAAGGACACAATTCTTCGTGTGTACCAATTAGTCAAAAGGGTAATTTCCAGGAAAGTCACATAGTATGAAAGCAAAACATGAGGATGAATTAAATTTGATGTGACCCAAATGATAGAAGAAATGAAAATTCAAACGATATGTATATTATTAACTAAAAGTTATTAATACTTTATAATTATTTATGTCCAATATAAATTATTTTTAATTTTTAGTATTAAAAAAAAATCGCCGGTCAATGTGTAAGTAAATCTGTAGAAACATATTCAGATTATAGAATAAATTTGTATACTATATTTCTAATGAAAGAACCAATACAATTACGTTTTCTTAATTATTTTATTTTGTGAAGGTATTTCTCTTCAATATTCAGTAAACAGACCAATTTGTGATCTTGACTCTTAAATAAAGTTAGATTTGTCTCATATATAAACAATTACAATATAAAGTTTATTATAATTCATATTTTTATTTTAAAAAATTATTGTAATATAAAATGTTTGTAAAAGGTGTATTATTTTTCCTTCTTCCACACCAAAATGAAAGTGCTCAAAAGGGAAAGTTGGAGGAAAGTGTTATGGTAGGGAAGACTTCCAACATTCAATGTTACCGCACAAATAGTATATGGTACTTGTCAGCCACACAAAAAGGAAAATTGGTCAAATTCAAACTTCCCTAATCTTTTCAAATAGTGACATTTTGAAGAAAGAAAACAAAACTATATATGACTTTTTGTATTGAACACTATTAAGAATTTGAGTTTACATACACTACTTTTTAATGGAAATCATGTCTATATGTATTTTTACTTGTATTATAAAAAATTTATTTGTATGCACGTTTTTTTTAATTTGTTACAGGTGACATGTTCTTAATTTTTATTAGTATTGCTTATTTTAATGAGACTAAGTTATTATTTAATCATTTTTTATTTATTTTTGGAAATAATTTTATTTTTAATGCAGAATGTGTCATTAAACTA